CCTGACGGCGGCGGCTTCCTAGCTTTCATTCAGGCTTCTCCTGTACACTCTTCTTCTGTAGCTCTATGAGTGACAATATTAAGATCACATTATTATGATGGTGATAAGGCTGATAGTACGCTGAAGAGGTAAGTTTCTGTTAGCGCATTTTCTGGAGATAGCTTACACATAGAAGAACAAAATTTCGATTCTATTGAAGGAGGATGCTCTTCAGCTATGGAGATGTCAAATTATCCGGGATCTATAACTCTCAGAGAGTTATAGATCCCGCCGAGCCTCGCTGGGACTTGAACCGACGACCTTCCGCATGCATAGTTCCGCACACGCCCAAAGTGAAGGTAAGTTCGATATTTTCGTCTCACTAAGAATGTGGTGGTAAGCTACCACTGGTAGCCACTAGCGTATCGCAGCATTAGTCATCATTATATCATATCAGTCAACACATACATAGCGCTGCTTCAGAGCCTCGGTCAACTGCTAGAAACTCAGGACATTACCATAGGTTATTGGCGACTCACCGATTGTGGCAATCATGATGTTCCGATGGATTACATGAGTTGATATAATATTTACTATATTATAGTGATCCGAAGACCACAGTAGTTTTCATTCAAGAATGCCCCCTAAAATCAATCCGTCATATCGTCTCTGTAAGAGGCTCATATACAAACCATTCGGTAGGATCAAGTACCGATTCTCTCTGAAGGCTGTGAGACGTGCCAATCCTTCCGTCTCGCATAGCAGCGGGAGCAACTCCGTTCCTAATGAGGGGTCAAGTGGCCAAAATGATGATACCAGCGGTGCATTGAGTGTGATAGATTGTGATGAGACGGTATCCATAATAGAAATTCTATTATAGAATTATCGGATAGTTGAAGTATGAGTTGCTTGGCTGTATAACCATACCAATATGTTAAGTTCGAGTCTCTTATGTGCATAAGTATCGTGTTGCTAAATAGTATTGTTACGGGGGACCAGCAGCCAACGGTAACCTAACTGTAGGGGTACTAAGACCAGGATGTAGAGGTGGAGTCGCAGGTACAGTCAAATCGAGATAGCTTGAGAACATTGCTGAAAGATACATGTTTCTAAGGACCATCATATTTCAGATATACACAACATGTCAGTGGTCAAACTGTTCACATGGGATGGGAATCTAACAGTTTCATGCTTGCACGGGAGAGCTAGCGCACGCCCGACCATGAGGAAGGCTTGCTCATGAAGTATCATGATGGGCCTGTTTCACAAGGATACTCAATTTCAAGGCGCCTCAAATTCAGGAGCAACTTAAGGAGTTACTTAAGGTATACTTAAGAAGTACTCAACTCATTTCACAACGTTTAGAAGCAACGCAAGGAGCTCCTTAACTTAAGGCGTACTTAAGTATCTACTTAACCATGGTTACAGGAATAGAATAGAGTTACATTTCCTGTAAGTTACTCAGAGTAACTTAAATCAAGTTCAGGGGTGTAATTGGGGAACCCTCCCCTGTGAAGGTCCATCCTACTCTGTAGCATTCCGTCATGGCAACATCCGATCTGGTGCGTCATGGTGAGGGTGAGCTCTTCTTCGTCCCATTGAAAGAAGTGATCAGACATGGGTGGAGGTCATTCCACTCAGAAGGATCTAGTGAGTCAACCGATCCGGGGGTAAAAGCTTACTGGTTCTAGCGAGTTTGGGCGTCTATCGTTAAAGTCGTGCGCTACAGCTCTTAAGGATTTCCTCGAGCCGCTCTGGCCGAGTTTACGGTCTCTGTCATAGTTTAACAGGTGCAATTCGTCAGGAGATTATCTCAGATGATTCAGCGCGGATTTGTTACTTTCTCGCTCATGCTTCGGTGAGATGCTCACTATAGGGCGTGAGTGATATCGATATACATTGTCTTCAGAAGTCGTGGCCTGTAATGAAGTGGATCGTCTTCACGTTTCACTTCACGTGTCATCCTCGGCGTATTCTTGTCGATGTCCAGTGTGATCGAAGTAAGACTGCGACTCGGACGCCGCCATGACGCTTAGTTCAGACGGGACTACACTGTAAGGGCTACACTGCAAACGTTACAGTGGAGCACAGTGCTCCGAGCAGTGCTCGGAGCACTACATCAACTAAGGGAACAATGTTCCCGGAACATTGAAAACCTCAAGCACTTTTCGATCTACTGTTTAGACCGAGACTTCACGCTTTGATCGAGAATCTTACAAATGCCTCCTTACGAATGTTACAAAGACTTTGTACTGCAAAGTTTGCAGTACAAAAGATTCGTGGATGCAAAAAGCGTGTGCCCAATAATTCGCCCACTGTTTCAAATCTATAGGATTTGACGGCATCCACAAGGTTGCCTGGTGCTCCAGAACTACTTTTTCATCCTTTAGTTATTTCTATCTAATGAGATAGATGGTTTTTTATTCGTCATCACAAAAGCTACCCACTGCGTCTACTTCATTGGTAGCAGCTTTCAAGACGAATATTTTGCCCGGCCTCCCGGCTGGGCGTGGAGGACGAGCAGTTTGTCTTGGGCGACGATGGTGAGTCTTTGCTTACCCTGTCTCCTTCTGAACCTCTCCTCATTCTAGGTATTATATTTAAAAAGGTTTGCCCCGGTCGGCCAGAGCTTCCAGTTATCATTGCGTCTTCTACGAACTGTTTGTGTGGTGTTGATGCGTGGGACATTCGAAGGCTGGTGTGTAATGTTAGTATAACCGACATGACGGTGTTAAGGTGTTAAGTCCACGTCAAAGTTATTCCGAGCGCTCGAGCTATAGCTGAACCGAGTAGCTGCCACATCCGGGATGTGGCATCCCTGTGAAAGATTGGAATGGTAATCAATGACAGCAAGGCATTCAGCCTACTTGAACGTAATGGCAGGGTTTATCCTGTCATTCCTGGGTTTTAATGAAGGAGTGTGAGAATAATTCAGCTCTGTCGTCGCTCAGTCTCCTCAGGTGCTGCTGTAGTAGCCTGGATATACTTTCGCTACGGCAACTTCATCAACGAGTATGTCGGGAAATGGAAGATATGACTCACTATCCCGTTCGTCTGTGAATGACAGACTATGATCCTCGGCTTTCGAACACCGTTGACGTTCTCATATTGGGTAGAGGAATTATAAGTCTGAGCGCCTTAAAGTTGACGAGGAAGGATGGTGAGGGGGAGATAC